AAATGCCAAAATCCGAAGATCCGGAAAAACCCACTTTTATTTCGGTTTTTTGAGCAAAACCCTGGGAAATAATTGTCAGATGTTGGAATGCCATACCCCATTGAATTCGTTATAAAATTTCCAATCGGGTGGCATTCACAGCGACAACATTTAAAAATTATTCTCCCACCTGAAAGCCCTAAAACACAATCCCAGTGAAAAACGAATTTTTATTATGATATAAGATTATTTTTTATTTAAAACAATGTATATCATAAATAAATAAAGTATGTAGTTTTTAGATAAAATAAATGCTATATGCTTAACATATATTTAGAAAGATCTTACCTTAATCTTATGCGAACTTTATATTAACACTTATAATAATCATTATATCTAGGAGAACTAAATTAATTATTTATTGATTTTTCTGGTATAAGGTTATGACAGTATTATTATTAATAGCCAACTTATGAGTACTTGCAGGTAAGCGCCAAATATATATCCACGTTGATGAGCTGGAGAGCAAAGACACGGCGACTTGTAAATCACGGATATCCTTGAAGACGGCACTGAAGCTAGGCGGAAATATCCATGGAAACTTCCTTGACAATGCTGATCCTGATCTCCTTTCTGCTTTCCTGTATTTAATAAAGAAATTTCAATTCATAAATTATATGTTTAAAAAATAAAAAAATGTATATATACTATTTTTGCAAGACTTTTACTGTGGGTGGGGACATGTTAATTCAATCCCATGTTGGAATGTCATACCTCGATGTCATAAAAAAACTTCATTTGAGTCCAGTTTTCGCTAAAAAAAAAAAAAACATGTAAAATCGGCATTTACAGCCAAAACTTAATTTATTTTTTTAAGTTTAACCCCTTATCAAAAATGCCAAAATCCGAAGATCTGGAAAAACCCACTTTTATTTCGGTTTTTTGATCAAAACCCTGGGAAATAATTGTCAGATGTTGGAATGCCATACCTCATTGAATTCGTTATAAAATTTCCAATCGGGTGGCATTCACAGCTAAAAATTTCATTTTGGTCGATTTTTGGCAAAAATGGATGATGTAACCCCTTATCAAAAATGCCAAAATCCGAAGATCTGGAAAAACCCACTTTTATTTCGGTTTTTTGAGCAAAACCCTGGGAAATAATTGTCAGATGTTGGAATGCCATACCTCATTGAATTCGTTATAAAATTTCCAATCGGGTGGCATTTACAGCTAAAAAATTCACGAATCAGTCGATTTTTGGCAGATATTAATGATGCAACCCCTTATCAAAAATGCCAAAATCCGAAGATCCGGAAAAACCCACTTTTATTTCGGTTTTTTGATCAAAACCCTGGGAAATAATTGTCAGATGTTGGAATGCCATACATCACTGAGTTCGTTATAAAATTTCCAATCGGATGGCATTCGTAGCTAAAAAATTTCATTTTGGTAGATTTTTGGTCAAAAATGCCAAAATCCGAAGATCCGGAAAAACCCACTTTTATTTCGGTTTTTTGAGCAAAACCCTGGGAAATAATTGTCAGATGTTGGAATGCCATACCCCATTGAATTCGTTATAAAATTTCCAATCGGGTGGCATTCACAGCGACAACATTTAAAAATTATTCTCCCACCTGAAAGCCCTAAAACACAATCCCAGTGAAAAACGAATTTTTATTATGATATAAGATTATTTTTTATTTAAAACAATGTATATCATAAATAAATAAAGTATGTAGTTTTTAGATAAAATAAATGCTATATGCTTAACATATATTTAGAAAGATCTTACCTTAATCTTATGCGAACTTTATATTAACACTTATAATAATCATTATATCTAGGAGAACTAAATTAATTATTTATTGATTTTTCTGGTATAAGGTTATGACAGTATTATTATTAATAGCCAACTTATGAGTACTTGCAGGTAAGCGCCAAATATATATCCACGTTGATGAGCTGGAGAGCAAAGACACGGCGACTTGTAAATCACGGATATCCTTGAAGACGGCACTGAAGCTAGGCGGAAATATCCATGGAAACTTCCTTGACAATGCTGATCCTGATCTCCTTTCTGCTTTCCTGTATTTAATAAAGAAATTTCAATTCATAAATTATATGTTTAAAAAATAAAAATTATATATATACTATTTTTGCAAGACTTTTACTGTGGGTGGGGACATGTTAATTCAATCCCATGTTGGAATGTCATACCTCGATGTCATAAAAAAACTTCATTTGAGTCCAGTTTTCGCTAAAAAAAAAAAAAACATGTAAAATCGGCATTTACAGCCAAAACTTAATTTATTTTTTTAAGTTTTAGAGCCCTGGATGAAGTCCTATTGGCCTTTGTTTTTATGAACCATTCGATTTATTTGTGACTCTAAATAAAAAGCTCTAAATACAAGCTCACCGAGGTCGTCAGCTGCATAAAGCAGTCTGTCTTTTAGCTTTAAGTCGTCTTTTGGCCATATGCAACATGACGAAAATCTGAAAAACACACAGAAATTTCCATTTATTTAAATTTATTATATCAGACTTACCGACGTTTACATATAATTGAAAAAAATATTTTCCTTAAGCTAAATTTATAAATCAACGAGAACGGATGCTAACTACGGTAAGTCGAAATTGTACTACCATAAAATAGCTCAAATTGATGACAGCGTGCACTGTGCGAAAACATTCTCAAATAAAATCGACCAACAATTTATTTTTGAGTGCTATTTTTATAGGCGTCTGTGTATTGATAAAAAGGTTCCTGATAACACTGTTCCAATGAATGTACCTAAGAGGTTTGCGTAAGAAGGTTCCTGATAAGACTGTTCCGATGAATGTACCTAAGAGGTTTGCGTACCCTTTATAAATTTACAAAGACATTATGGAATGGCAATCCCAAGAAACCGGTTAGTCCCTCTCTGATTAAAAATCACAAATCGTGACGCCTTTCGAGCTATTTAATTTCTTATCAATAACAAACATAAACCACTAAGTGATCGTCATTTTAATCACTTTAAATTATAGAGATTACGGACTATCGGTCGTATTCTACATTTTAAATGTCTAATTTTAGTTGTTATGGCTTATGGCTTATCGGTTGAAAATGCGCTTTAAGATATTGTAAGTATCGTGACCATTGGTATCATTACAATAGGAAAGCATTTTCCTTTATTCGTCACTTTAGAGATTATTACACGATAAAATAATTTATTTCGGGGATAAGAAAAATAGTTTTAAAATATACGTTCATGATTAAATGTAGAACTTTATAGTATCTTTTTCAGATTAAGCCTTTGAACGTTAAACTATTAAAAAAATATAAATTTCGTTCTCTTAAAAAAAACAGCTTCTTTAAATTGGCTGCTGGCAACACCAACGGTTTCGGGAATTTTAATCAGATACTGCTAATTAGACCAGAGTCTGCTGCCACAAATAATCTGAGTAATTGGTAACCAAAATAAAATTTCCGCCAGACTAAATTTAAAAATAACTGTTACGAAATGGGCAAAAATAGCTGGAAATCTGAAACCTGAAGGGAATAAAATAGAGCAGAAAAATAAAGTAAAGATGGCGAGGGAAGTACTAGCCGCAGAAGCAGCGACAAACACTTTGGACAGTTAATAAAGCCGGGATAAGCACTCGACTTGGCTTGATGACAACTTGACGTGGTCGCTGAAATGCCGCAATGAGCACCCGAAGCCGGTTTATTAAAAATGAGCAGCGAGAAGATGGGAAAATAAATAGAAAAGTACACGAGGAATGGCTGATGTCTTGCGGGTTGCCGGGCCAGAGATAACGCCTGTCGCCAGGACATGCAAAAGGAGTCGCAGGACTCGCAGTCGCAGGATACAGAGAAGGGATTCCAGAGGCAAATCCTCGGCACGTAGCTGCCAGATCAACGCACGCCCGACGCGCTCAACATTTTCATGAGTTAATTTAATTTCTGTATCTGCCGAATCTCTGGCGAATCGCAGGCAAAAAGGCTCACAGTAAATAATGGCGCAAATGTTCGTCCGATTTAAGCTGATTGACGTGATGGCACATTTCAATGGCACTCTCGCCCACAAAACCATCTTCGAAATGGCCGGAAATTGATTCTGGAAATGAGATGAAAAGCCAATGTAGCTTTATGGACAGACGTAAGTGCCCCATCAATTTGGACAAAAATCATCATGAAGCTTATAATGGGTTTATGAATTTTAAAGCCTCTGCTAATGAGCCATCAACGAGTTTGTATCCAGCCATTCACAATGTTACTTTGTATAGAACTATTTGAATCTACATCCTAAAATAAATCATTTGGCTTGAAAGTTGTTTATTAAGCTGTTTCTTTGTTTGAAACACGTGCTCAAACTCAGTCTTAAGCAACCAAATAAATTAGGCAATTAAGAAGAGATAATCGTGTTTTCAAAAAACCTACCCACTTGACCAACGAATTAAGTTAAATAAAGTACTTCCTAAATAAATCCTTGCCATAAAAACTATGAATAAGACAAACAAGACCAAAGGATAAGCCCAAACCCAAACAAACTGTCACAAAAACCGAATTCATATCACGATTTCATATCAAACTAGGAGCCTGAAATTTTTCAAAGAGTTTCGAGACGCAAAAAGCAATGGGTTTTTAATACTGCAGGCAAATCGAACGACTGTTCCCTGACTTTCCAGCCTAAAAGAGCAAAGCGATTTGTTTGAAGTGAAAGCGATTAAGTTGTGACTCCGATCTTACCTTTGTGCCTGCGGCCAAACCAATTAATCTCCCCAAAATGTCCCACGCAGAGCCTGAGTGAAAGAACCGCAGGGGTTTTCCAATCCGCTTTCCCTTTTCCCAGGTCACGACCGGCCTGCTTTGTTGTTGCGGTGAGCAAAGTTTTTCCTCAGCGCCCTTTAAGTTGTCTTCTAGCTGCCACAGCTGGATGGCCTCAGTAATTTAATTCCCCATAAATTTCCATGGCTCTCTGGTTTTTCGGGATTTTTAGCAACTTTTTGGCGACCAACGACAGATGAAAACAAAGTTTCTAACGCACAATTTACATTTATTTTCAACTATATGCTGGCACATAAAAATGTATTTACAAAGTTTGCGTGATTAGCTTTAAAACAGAGTCGTTATTTAGAGTACACAATATGTTTTAGCTTTCTTAACCTTTTCTATATAATTCATACGAGAAGTGTTGCTAGCTTAAAGCCGTGTTCCGGCTGCAATACTTTAGCTTATAAGCTTAACTTCTATGACATTGACACACATAAAGAACATCGAAATTCTTTGTTAGGTTTATATTTACATGGTACGAAAGTTGGTGACTTTGTTTCGATGCCAACGTTTTACAGAAATAATCTTTAGCTGCTACTTTGATGGAGTTTTATGAGTCGGAATTAGTTGAATATTATTAGGTAATTTGTTGGTATAAAGTAGTGTAAAAAAAACAATTAAAGTATTTGTTTCTATTTCTGTTTACTTATGTAATGCGGCGAATGGAAAAGATTAAATTACCCTTATAAGTATGCTACAGAAAACATAAGGCAACATTTAAGCATAGACCTATTCAAGTTTTAATATTCGTAGATTCCAATTTCATATTTCAAATTTAAGTTTATATCATACAAAGGTTCTGAAAGTGAAAGTGCTTTTGAAATTGACAGACTTTTTAACGACTTGCCAACATTTTATTTAAATTAAATTCGAGCTTAAGCTGAACGTAATAAGGTTTGCCCTAAACTACTTTTGATCTTGGTAGAGTGCTTGGGATAGGCTTCCTGTAAACTCCGTTTAGGTCCAGTGTGCTCCTCTGTTTCTGGCCGCGATTTCAGTTCATCAGGGATTCCTGGAATTTCGGTGGGTGCGAACGCGTCTGCTGGCTAAGTTCGTTAAGGGGCAGAAACCCGTAGGCCGGCGGTGCTTCATTGCGCCCAGGGGCGTGGCCCCCGGTCATGGCCAAGTCCACGGCGGAAATGGGGACTCCGGAAATGGGGACTCCGGCTCCATTCTGGTTTCCCCCGTTTGGCAGCGCCGTTATCGACGTCTCCTGCAGGCGACAGCTGTCCATTGTGGCGGTTTAATGATGGGTCTCGGAAATGGGGGTAATGGGGTTCCTGGCCAAGGACCACACTCACCTGCGGATGGTGCTCTGGTAGCAGGAGTGGCGGGAGTGGTACCGCTTGGAGGCGGTGCTGGTCAGCGAGGTGTCGCGGTGCATGCAGAAGGTGTCGTGCTGGCCGCGTTTCTTGCGCCGTCCACTCGCTCCGCGGCAGAACAGATATCTGCCGGACGGAACGGAACGGAATAGAATTGAGTTGCCAGTGGTGGCCAAATGGCATTTGACCAAGTGCCAGATTCCGGGAGCAGAAGGCCCCATTCGCGTGTCAAACAAAAATATTTCATAAAACTCGCTCATATGTGAAGGCGTGCATGGGGCGTTTTTTGAGTTTACACAGAGCAAAAAGATCAGCAGTTAATTTGATATCTTTTAGAAGCATGTTATAGAAAATGGTTTAGTATTTTATTATGCTCAGAATAAATAAATAATTATCAAGCGGAGAATTAAAAGATATTCAATAGACTTTTTGCAAATATAAAAACAGATTCCTTTCAAAATTAGGACTCAAATGCATTCTGTAAGAACTTTTAGGTACTTCTTTTTGGTATTCTGTCGACAGGAAATTAAAATTAAAAATTGATCAAAACAACTTGAAAATAAACAATTTGTCCATCACTTTTCTCAGTGCATGCATAAAGGTCCGACACTCTGCGAATTCATCCAGAAGCAACTAACAATTGCAGATGGCAATTCGAGAGCAGATACTCATATGAAAAGGGAAGTAGTGCACTTGGTCATTGAGTGCGATTCAATGCAACTGGGAACGAATATTAGAAAATCTGAGCAAATAAGAGGAAAATAAATAGAAGCACCATATGGTTGGCAATAGTTCATAACAGACGGAAAGTTTCAAAGAAAATCTTTTAAAAATAAATTAAATTAAAGCTCTTTGAGTGCATTCGACTGGTGTACATTAATTATTCGGCCATCGATTAATTTTCCACCTTGTGTTATCATGTCATCGGAAGAGCTCTCAAACTGACAATCATGAATATTTAAATTTATATTAAATACAAGCAAAACTGATTCATCCCGATGGAAATAAGTGCAATAACTCTTGACTCAAATAAAATAAACGAAAAGCAATTCACGTACACGTATACCAACCCACCGGGAATGACATTTAACTAACTACTGAATGTTTTGTGTAAACTTTGGGGCAAAATCATAGTGAGCTTTCAAGTCACGCATGAATGGCCAATTGTTTTTGCTCTTCTGAAGTTATGAGTTTATGAGTTTGGAAAGGGGGATACAAATGGCAGTTGGCTTACGCTTACAGTTACGGGGCTACAGACTGTCTACTGATCGACTAGCGAGTACCCACTAATCATGCTGTAGCGCAGTTATGCGGCTGGTGAGGTGATGTGAACGAACAAATACCTATTGAAGTGCTTGCGGAAGGCGCCGCTCACGAAGTAGAGGGCCACAGGATTGGCGCAGCTGTTGGCGAAGGACATGCAGTAGGCCACGATGCGCAGCACATGCCAGAAGGCATTGTAGTCGTCCTGGGCGGTGGGCCTGTAAGTATAAGGAAGTAAGGATTAGTCGCCTTACAGATACTTAGGAGCTTATAAAAGACAATCATTTCTGTTTTAAATACCTAATGGGTATCCTGAAATGAAATCAGCGTAAGGTACAGCTTTGCCGACTTAGAGAAACTGACGAAAGTCATTCACAAGCCTAATGGCAAAACTCGTTAAAATATTTCCTGAGATTCAAATATTCTTAAAGATGATTTTTAATTTAATTTTTTTTTTTTTACATTTAAATTCTTTTTAAATTCCATTTTCCCCCGCAATTATGTAACCCTATAAATGTCAATAAATGCTTGATTTCATATTAATAAAAGTTTATATAATAAGGGTATTTTGTTTAGTTCAAACATCAATTGGTAAACTTATCTGAAAAGTGAGTTCTAAAAACCTTTAAGGAATAAAAAAAAGGATATCGCTCGATCTAAGCAATCCTTTTGGAGCACGCAACACACCCTTTACTCCGCGAATACCTCTTGACAAAGCACAAACATATATTGGGAGTCGGAGTCGCAGCAAAGCAGCCATAATGGAGATATCAGCGGGGAAATTGATTGTCCGGCATCCCAGGCGAACAAGTGTCGGACAAATGGCGACAACATTACTCATACGCAGGACTCCTTTGTGGACTACATGTGTGCTGTGTTCTGTGTCCTGTGCTGCTGGCAGGTTCCCTTTTATCCGCCTGACAAATTGACTTTCCATCCATTCATTCATGAACATACCCAGCTTAGTGGCACCCCCTCCCCTGGGGAGGTGGTCCAAATCAGTAGCACCCAGAGCACTCACCAGAAGTAGAACCAGAGGAAGAAGACGTGGTAGGGCAGGAAGCAAATGCCAAAGATGACTACGAAGGCCAGAACAGTTACGGCCACCTTCCGACGGGCTCGAACCTGGAATTATAAAAAACTGGAGTTATGTGTTGAGAACAACAATCGCTTTAAAACCAAACGGATTGTACCCTTACAAATTCAATAATCTGACACTTAAATATTTCAAAGTGTTTGTCAGTTTGGTGTCAATATATCATTTCTTAAAGGCCTAATTGCATATTCAATATAAATTAAACTCCATGACAAAAAATAAAATTAAAGACCACAAAATTGTTCCGAATGAGATTAAAAAAAACTTTGGAAATAAAGTAGCACAAAGTCAAAGACAATTGAAAAAGGAAGCTCAAGAAAAGTTCCCACATAAACAAAAGTCAGAGAAAAACTTTTAACGACCTGAGAGTCAAGTGGAAACCATTTCAGACTTTAAATGTATGCCATTTGTGTTTAAAATTACCAATGCGACTGCACTCTTAAAAATTAAAATAATACCATTTACCAGTTCTTAGCCTCTATTGTTTTATGAACAACACAATCTCAATCACAATTGTAATAGAGAAACCAACGTAAGGTTTCAAAAACAAAAGAATGAGGAAAAGTTCTAACGAACTGGAAATAAAATACGAAACACTTTAAAATGAAATGTATACCACTATGTGGCAAACTCTCAATACGATGGCAAACATAAAGAATTCTTATTGACGAGAACACATGCTTTTTAAGCCACCAACAAGTTCCTCAATTTATTCAACTAACCCAGCAATTCAGTGTGAACTTCAGAGCGATGGTCAAGTTAATATGAATATTTTATGCCAACCAACTGAATGGAAAAAGTTTAAGCACACATTTTTTCAGCAACAGACCCTGCTGAAATAGTTGTGGAAAAACTTTATAATTCACTTTTCTGGAGCTCCCCTTTTTGGTCGGCCTTAGATGGGTTGAGACTCAATGATTGATTTCAATTGGTGGGTCTTATGAATACTTTTAGGGACCATAAATTGTATTTCGGGCTGACCTGGCGAACGGCTCCCTGAATTTCGCCAGGGACACTGGCCGAGTACATCAGATGGAGGGCGATGAGCACGTAGAACACGGCTATGATCACTAGGGGAATGGCGTAGTAGACGAGGAAGTGCAGCAGGACCATGGACTTGGCGTAGTTGATGCCCCACTCCTCCGGATACGGATAGCAGATGACAATCGACTTCTCGTTAATGCCCAAGTGCTGCAAGGAATGTTTAAGTTTTAAGGGTGAGTTAAGGTGACTTCTATTAACCTACCTTGAGATTACTGCCAATAAGGGCTGGCAATCCGCACAGAATGGCCAGCAGCCAAATGGATACCGCTGTGGCCAAAGTCATTCGGGTGGCCCGACGACCGCCTCCTGAAAGGATTGCAAAATTTATTACTTAATTAGGTGCCTTATATATGTAGCAAGCAGTCATACACACATGTACATATACACCTACACTTAAGTACTATTGTACTCCTATTTCACATACATACTCTAAGATAAGTTCCACAATTATTATATCCTTTATATGTCTCTTTTAATCTTGTGCGAAACCTATTGTCAACCGAACACTATGTCTATCTCGGTCTCGCACGTACGATCGGTTTAAGTTCCACTCTTGTGAAATAGGCTAAGCCCGCATAATTTGGAAAAGAATAAACTCACTTTTGCTGCGAATCTGAATCTCCAATGAATCAACAAGACGTATTTGTGCCACCTACATACATATATTATATATATAATTTTTGGAAATTAAATAGTTATAGCCAAATACCTCCTGATGGGTAATTCTATTTTTTAACAACAAACCATTCTTATATAATTGGAGTTCTTATTAAAGAAATATTTACTTTCCTTTTTAACTGCCCAAAAATATATACATTTTATGCAATAAGTTAAGTAATAGAATAGTAATAAAGAATATTGAAACATATTCTAATGATTTTCAATGGATCCCAAGCAAGTTTAAAGTAAATTAGAGTATAATTCACTTGATTATAAATAAATTAGATTACGTTTCAGGAATCTCTCTAGCTCTACATTTATAAAGGACCTGCATTCTAAAATCAAAGTATTTCAAGCTAAACATTTTTCATGTGCATACTGTATTAATGACTTCTCCGGTAAATACAAACTTACCATGGGCGTGAAACTTCCTCAAAGGATCCACGATGGCGAAGTAGCGATCTCCCGATAATGCGGTGAGTGTGAACACCGATACTCCAATGGACACATCCTTCATGAATTCGGAGAGGCTGCAGAGGAAGCTGCCGTAGGGCCAGTACTCCACTGTGTAAACCGTGGAGGCCAAAGGCACTGTGGTTACAATAACCAGCAGATCCGCCAGGGCCAGTGATAAAATATAGCTGAAAGAAGCAATATTAATGTAAAATTTAAACTGGGAGAGTGAGATAAAGAACCCATCCCAGGGATTTATTCAACGCTTTTTTGAGATAAGCAGGCTGACTTGGCAGCGGGGTTAACTCATCTTTTTGGCCAGCACGTGTCCTTGAAGTGTGATAAAAATGTGGCACTGGCTTGATTTATGTGCGCCAAACTTTAAGCCCAATTGTATATGGCTGCTGACTTAGGGGTAACACAATGACCGTTAAAATTGATTTATCTACCAAAAGCCTTATTAAGTGGAATGTAAATTATCCGTCGCCGAGAAGCGGAAAAAGAAGGCGAATTTCACTATTTATTGTGAGGGGCTTTGCCGGAGTACCACACACTTGAGGCCACAGTGGCTGCGAATAAGTGGCGCTCAGTGGCAATTCGGTCCGTGATCTCATGCAGTACTGTAATTGCGATTCCGCCTTTATGCAACCTCTCCGCTTTCCATAAATAAGCTGCATGTGGCACTTTGTTTGCCACGTTCTGGCCGTCGGAAATGCAACACCAAATTACGTTTTTGTGGCCCCCGGCAAAGCCGATAAGGGTCTTTGGAATCCTGCTCCGGCACTTGGCTTTTAAAGACCCCCCTTTCCCCACTTGGCTTTCACCCAAGGAACGAAATGCAATTTCAGCGTAATTTGATCAGTTGACATTTCCTTTCGTCTGCCAGTTTTATGTGAGTTAAGCTTAATGCAAAATCGTGTTGCCTGCAAATTCATAGTTTATGCGGCTGCCACTGCTCCAATGTTTCGGCATCCGTGAGAGGATTTAAGCGGATTTAAGTGGCGTACGGATACGGCCAACAATCCGGCCGTAAGTGGCGGTGCTCTTCAGGCCGCGTTGACCACTTCCGCACACAAAGTGGAATGTTTTAATTGGCCACAAGCCGCAAGGACCGACTCCTGTCCACCCAACCAAGGTCATCGCCTTAATGATCAACTCGTGTCGCTAATAAACTTCTTCACAGAGCCAATATGTTGCCACTGGAAACCGTGCTGTTTAAGTTATTTATTTTATACGGGGCGAAAATTGTCATGAAAATTGCCAGGCAACTTTGAAACGGAACTCTTGAAATGGCTAATAATATTTCAGTAGATTAACAACCATCTGAATATTGTAGTCATTGGTATTTTAAATGCTTAATTTCAGAATTAGTTTCACTGTAAATAAATTCACATTATGTTTACTAAACTTCACAAAGCAGTTATAGGGAAAACTATAGGGAAACTAAGGTTCCAATTAAGGCATGTAATTTCACTCAGAGTAACTGGCATATTAAATTCCTCAATTTCGCTAAATGGCTTCCTGAGTCTCGAAAATTGTGGCACAATTCCGTCGCCTTTAACGAATTACTTTGGCTTCCCAGAATGTAGGCAACATCTCGCTCGTGTAAGTCGCCACATAAGGTTATTGTCTGCCTCAAAATCATATTTATCTCGACCGTAAGCCCGGCACAATAACTTGATTTATGGCACACAATGTGCGAGCATGTACGAGTAGTACCTACAAAAATCACCCCCGACATGACTAATTAGTTATGCCATTTTGTTGCTCCTCTGCGGAAACATCAACAGCTGGCAATCGATCGGAATTTGTGTGTTCCGACATGTGAAAGGGAAATTTTAAGCAATTTCCAGGCGGAGGCGGTAACAACATTACCATTATCATCGCCGACTCACTGACTTTTCCTGCCTGGCATGCCACTTAATTAACTGATGACTTGGGGGGCAGGAGGGGGGCTGGACACTTTTCCGTCCTTGCTATTGGCCAACTCGTGACATTTGCCTTTTGCATGCATAATTTGGCGCAGACTCTTCGCTGCCAGGCGTGTGGCATATAATTAAATTCAATTTAAGTTCCTCATAAATCAAAAGGACATTTTTAGCCAGCTCATGGTACAGGTGTTACGACTAGGTAATGTCCTGGATTATTTGTCTGTCCCCTTAAGTTTTTAGATAAATATTTTTAAGTTGTGATATTCTCATTACTTACATACATACATAATATAATTTATATTTCTATATTTATATTTATATTTCTTAGCCATTTTATTTCTTTGAAATCCCAATAGTCTTACTATTCCAATATAGATATATAAATATAAAGTTTCCTAGGACTATGTTTAAAACCTAATTTGAATTCCCCAAACAGTTTTGAGTGATTTTAAAAAATATTTCAAGTCCCAAATTGAAGTTAAATGTATAGCTCAAATAACTGTTTATGAAACAAAGTGATCACAACTTTGGGGGATATTATTTAGGGATAACATTCGAACTCCTAACTCCGTGACCAGAAATACCCCGTCTGAACGCCGTTTTTCCGGGGTATCGTAAACTTTTCGCTGGGCAACTCACGTGTTGGGAACATTCCGCATCTGTCGCACACTGAGGAAGACCACAATCAGTGTCCCATTGCCCAGGACGCCGACCACGAAGATCAGGGCGAAGAGGAGGGGCACGATGTAGGTTTCCGGGCGGCGGCCGTAGGGCACGTAGGGCGTCTCGGTGGCCCCCAGTTCGGTGAAGTTCTCGGTGGACACGGAGTCCAGGAGGGGCCACTGGGTGGAGGAGGCCACCATGGCCAGATCCCAGAGAGCCTGCGTGACGTTCAGTGGGGTGGGCAGGGGCGGTGAGTCCCCCAGAATGTCCAGATCCAGACCCAGATCCACGTCCATGTCCAAGTCCGTTTCCATGCTGACCAAGTTGGCTGTGGCTATCATCAGGGGAATCTCCTGGCACTGCTGGCTCCACTCGTTTTTCCTTCGTTTAATGTTATTCCTTGCCAAACAGAACGGAAATTGTTTAAGCCAACATGATTAATTTGATTTCTTCACAGCTCGTTGCCTGCTGCATTTTTGCAACCGATTCTGTACAGCTGCAAATAGGAGAAAAACAATACAAATTGTAACATGAAATTGATTCAATTTGCTTTTGGTTTTGCCTTAATGGATTTGTACGAAATTTCATTATTCAATTTTAAATTCCTGCTGCCCAATATCAAAAATATTGTGCATATTTTCATAGCTTTTAAACGGTTGATTCAACTCGTGTTTGTTTACTTTTCTGGTTGCGAAAATGCATATTTACTATGGGATCAATTTATTGTTTTCGGTTTGCATGGCAAACAAGTTTCTATTGTTCGGAAGCAAACTTAAATGTTCAATGAAACAAATTTGCAAATTAAATTAAATTAGAATTGATACGTAAATATTATAATGTATAGCCACAAATATAAAAAGTGGGCTGACCTAATCAATAAAATATTTGCAATCATTGCATATTTAGAGACAATTTGCTGATTGATTTTGAATATATACAAATTTATTTGGAAGCTCTGATAAGTGAACGTAAAATAATATATTTTGTTTGCCAATAACATAGTACGATCTTAAGCATTTCTAACTGGACATTATTTTCCATGCTCTCCACTTTTGTCTGTTTAATTTAATTTGGCATGCAAATGCCTTTGTTCTCCTAACTGGATAATTGCATCATAGATGCACATTTGCTTTTCCATTAAATTGCATTTCAGCAAATCCCTCTACACTTTTGCCAAAAACTCAACTTTACCCTTCAGCTGGCTAATTTGGCATTCCCTTTTCCAAAGTATCTCAAAACACGTGCTAACTTTCCATTAAAGCGGCGATGGAAAAGGAGAGCTGAAGTATCCGGAAAATCGGGAAGGGAGAAGGGGGCTTTATGTTGCAGATTTATGGCATTAGCGTGGAATTTCTTATCATCCTGATGGTATGGCTTCATGGCATCCATGGTCCTGCCTTCTCCGACACTTCAAGGAATGCATATCCTGTCATTACATTTCCAGCCATTAACCGCACACACACATACACACAGTGACTCATAAAATGTAACTGACGCCGGAGGAAACTTCAGAGACTTGGACAAACAACAACAACAGGATCTTGAGAGCGGGAAAACTCTGCGTAATTGAAATCCGTGCGTTCGGCATTTTCTTTCCGCCCGTTCTGTCATTTCTTTGTAATAAAAATATGAATAGCCGACCGTGGAGCAGCGCTTCCTGGCCAGGTGAATGTAAACATCCGGACCAATCCCAAGACACCAAACCCCCCCCCACCCCACTTTCCCTTACGTTGCATAAAGCCCGGATGCCATCGAAAATGTGATGGAGAAACTGTAAAAACAGATGCCTTAAAAATCAAATCCGTATGAATGCATAAACACAATTTGCATAAACCGAAAGATGTCGGAATGACGCCTACAAAGTTGCGAAAGTGTTGGGGTGAAAATGTGCATGAAGTGTGCTCCTCGTAACTGCATTAAATTTAGTGTTTCTTAAAGGGTTTTCCTTGTTAAACCTGTTTAAGTTTTATTTAATAGCCATGCCACTCAGTAACACGATATTCCATTCCATCAATTTAAGCTGATCTCAGATAAGGACTAATTAAGGAAACTTTGGCAAAACTTTTCCTCTAACCTTAACTTTATCTTAGCCATCTCAGGTAAACGAGAAGACCAAGTTCTCAATTTGCCAGCAAATAGTTCGAGTTTTTTACATTTTCTATCGCAGTTTTTGGTTATTATTCTTTCATCGCCTGCTGTGCTTGCTGCTAGTTAATAAAACAAATTGTTTTTTAATGAATTTATGACCACAATTTGCTGCTGGCTAATTGCGTTGAACATAAAAAACGTATTAATACGGGGGGAAATTAAAGCTAGCAAAACAATCAAACAATAGAAGAATGGTTCTGGTGGCGTATGAGTGATATTGCAACTTATGAATATTACAATTGCTTTTTAATATTAATGAAAATAGTTTGTTTGTATTGAGTTTAAAATTAAGCCCTATGGCTTAGAAAAAGTGCAGAAAAGTTTAAAAGGAAGCATTAAGAAAATAACTGGGTGTCACCGGTGGCGTATGAGTAATAATTATTATGAACCCTGTAAAATTATAATGTTGAAATCATTTATTGTAATATTTAAATGTATTCCATAAATTACAGAAATAAAAATGTGCTATTGGCAGCATAATTTGTTAGAGTTGATTTATTTTAAATGTATATAAGAACCACCTAATTACTTTCGATTTAATTCACTTTTCTATTCATCAATTATAAAAGCTGGTTTTTCATAAACGAAAACTTTTTCGTGCTCCTTTGATTTTCAAGAACTTTTCGTCTTTTCGTATTCAATGGCTATTTGATATTTTCCAGTTCGGTGTTTCCTAAGACTTCTCACTTCTTGCAGTTCGAGTATTCCGAATTGAATTAAATTCTCCATTGTTGACCTTCTTGAATGGCTTCACGTGGATTGGCAAAAATGGAGCTTGCGAAACTTGCAAATACCCGAAATGTAAATGAAGTTCGAGAACAAAGGCACACTAATTAAGTAATTTCGAACGAAAGCAGAAAATCGCTGGAATATTTTTAACTGAAACTGGCTGCCAGATGAGCCTGTTGAAATGTCAACACTGGCCGCATTGTTTGCAGCTCAGCGTAATTAATTTGTTAACTGAATGTTAACACAAGTGGGTGGAAGGACTAGGATGCGGTCAGGTTTATTTGTACAACACTTAGCTAATTGAATTTCGACACTGACTAGGCCAAATGATAAATTATTCCCTTTAAAGTAAGTGTACAGCGCAAAACATTCGGTTCGACGCCATAAATATTCATAGCTCCAACGAAAAGTGATCTATTTTGGGATAGCTGCCATTAGACCGACAAATAAACCTGTTAGCCTGTGTCAATAAGTGGCTTACATCGCTCCATTCGCACAAAAAACAATTGAGCAGTGAAGTGTCGTGATTTATGACAGCCAATGGCCGGCAGAGTCCGCTTATCTGGCGACCATCTGGATGTCAAATTGGAATGGAACCTAAACGAAAAGGGCTTCCTAAATACCCTGTTAGAGGAGCTTAATATTTAAGAGGTATCTTGACCACAAGTCAGGGAAAACATAAAAGTTCTGAGTCATTTAAAATAAACTTATTTGTAAAACAAACTTTGATAGTTATATAACAAAACCCATTCAAAGGCATTTAAAATAAACTTATTTATAAAACGTACTATAATAGTTATCTAACCAAAACCAAGCAACATTCTAGTCATTTAAAATAAACTTATTTAATATACAAACTATGATAGTTATCTAACAAAACCCATTCAAAGGCATTTAAAATAAATATTTATAAAACGAACTATGATAGTTATCTAACAAAAACCAAGCTAAGCAATGCTGTGACACTTTCTATTTACAGAACATTCTGAGAATCCACTCTTAATAATCCCTTGTAACTTCTAAGTAAACAATACATTAATGTTTTTCATCCTGCCAAATTTGTTAAATAACATTTGATAATACTTAAATATTAATATTAATATTATTATTATATTATATTAATATTTATTAATATATACTAAATATTCTAATAAGAAATAATAACTACTAAGTTTCAACAGAATATTGCATGCTTTACTTGCTTCCATGCATGTTTTTAGTCACCATGTATTACTGGAATTATATACCAGACTTGATATGTTGAAATAAAACATAAGAAACTCACACTTTTATAATTTGTTAAGTCTCAACTCCATAAAGTAGTAGTTTTGTAATTTCCAGGATACCATTCAGTCACTGGATATTCTTGCAACAGCCGCAGTTAGTTGTTACATTGGTGACTCCATGCTTATGAGTGCGTTTGATAAATCAATGCAATTTATCAGTGGTTCAGTGGCGGACAAAACGCCACTTAAAATGCGACGCACTCCGGTCCCGAACTCCGAAATCCGGGGGAAGTGGTGGTAACCTAGGTGGTGGTAACCTATCCCACTGCCAAAATGTTTATCGCATCGCAAACAGGCAACACACGTTGCCAACCGAGTGGGAATCGAACCGAAAAACAGGCGGCGGGATTGAAATCTTATCTGGCATTCGTTTGGGACTTAGTGCGTCTCATAATAAATGCAGTTAAGTCGGGATTGTTTTGGGGACAAAGGGCGCCTGGAATTCGCAGCCACACACGAATGTTGTGAATAAATAACGCGGACACTCGTACTCCCCCGAAACAAAAAATAGAGAGACAAGAGTCCTTTTCCATTTTTCAGTTGCTGTGCAGGAATATTTTTTCTTTTTCATGACATATGCGTAAAAAACAGGGAGACAGGCTTTGCCAAAAGATTTGCGATTGGCCATTTGTTGTGTCGCTTGTAATTGAATACCAGCCTGCCTGCTTTTTATTTATTTATGCAAATATAATGAAAGAGAAATACGATTTTCAATCATTTATTCCAGCAGAAAAGCTTTTGAATAACTGAGCCATTTTTTTGAATTTTGATATCTAGTCTGCTGTTGTTTCATTTACAGAACATTTCTGTATTTAATACTGTACCGAGTCTTTAATGAAAAGTTTAATGGCATCGCCAGTTTAAAAATGCCACACTGGATTATGGATATAAGTGTCCCCAAATACGCGCATGTTCGAACATAAAGCAACCACTAAGACGAGGCGATAAAAAATCAAATTGAATCATCCCATAAGCCATTTCACTTCATTGTCATAGTTGTTTTTAATTTTTCCCTCTGCTCCTCGCGGAATTTGTCCACATCAGTTGTTTCCGTATATTATTTTTCTCATTTTTGTGAAAATCGTTTTTCCGATTCGCACTTATTGAAGTGGGGATAGGAAGTAGGTTTAAAATAAAGCCATAAACGCTAGGGGATCAGCTCGAAAGTGTACGCGAAATGGCGGAAGAATTTCGATTGTCATTATCTAGATAAATTATTTATGTAATCGCACGTAACCATTATTTTTATGGAATTTTTTTTGCCTGCGGCCTGGTCCAAAAAAGTGCTAGAAACAATTTTCCCACCCGCAGCGAAAATCGATTATCAAAGGAA